TGAAAATAGAGATATCTGTCTTTTTTCCTTAAACAGTCACTGAAACATGCTGCGATATTCCCCGCCTTCCCCCCCACCCCCAACTCACTCCCTACCTATTGATTCTTTTCAGGTAGTTTGTCATTTCCAATCTTACAAAAATTTGCTAAGATGAGTTCCATAACATGTATGCTAACTCCATAACAAGAGGAGTTAGAATAACATGCATATTAAGCATTGTAATGAAGAACATCTCCCTTCCTTGCTCCACTTGCACTGTAAATATAAGGTTTTGGACCAAAATAATTTTAGTAAAAGAGTTCATAGATCATAGATTAGTTAGGGTTGCAAAGGACCTTAAGATCATCTAGTTCCAACCCCCCTGCCATGAGCAGGGACACCACACACTAAACTATGTCACTCAAGGCTCTGTCCAGCCTGGCCTTGAACACCACCAGGGTTGGGAGATACATTTTCTCATAAACTTTGTACATCTTAAGAAGATATTTTGATTGGTATATGGCTCCATGCTTCAAAATCTCTGCACTGTACGCTATTCGCAAATCATGGAAAACATCTGAATTAGTCTATACATCTCACAGAATTAGACATACGGAAGATTGTAACAATGTAATAACATACCTACTCATGATTTTATCACTTACTTTCAAAATACTTAGCATAACATTAATGTTAAACTTGACAGTATCCAATTCTTCATTTAGCATTTATTTTATGCTTAAAACAATGTTTCATGCTACCTGCAGGATTATTGATAAAATTTTCAGGTTTGCAACAGAGAAGAAAAGATCTGGTAAACAAGTTTATGAACACTTCAAGTAACAACAGCAAATCAGAAGTACACAGTTCTTGAAGAACATATCAGCCACTAATATAATATGGTATGAATAGACATACCTTGGGAGAACAAGAATAAGGAGATTCCATTTCCATTATAAATGTATTTTGGAATAGATTCCCACTCATAAACACACTCAAAAAAACCCCAACCACAACCAAACCTGAAATCAAACTGAAATGTAACTACCACCATAAGCAGAAAGATGTAGAAAATGAAAATGAAAAACCTGCTGTCTACATGAACACCAACATGGCTTTCCTTCCAAAATTATCAGTTATTCCAAATCTTTAAAGAGGAAAATGCTCTCAAGATTATGTCAACAGAATAATATTTATATATACCCTTTGCATAGTATATAATGTGCATTAAAGACAAGGTCATTACTATTATGATCTATCTGCATCAACAAAGACTTTAAAATAATCATTAAATGGTCACAATAATTCTTTTTGAAGATGGATGAGAGCTAGATTGAGGTTTGATTTTGGTACTTCTTTTTCAAGTTTTACTTGGTTAGGAATCAGTATGTTGAATTTGAGATTGAAAATTACTTTGCTGATACAAAAAAAACCCCCAGAACTTATCAGGAAATTTAAATGAATATAACATAATTGAAGAAAATTATTTTGGAACCAAAGAAATACCTAAGCCCAATGCTTCCATATGCATATGAGCTGCCATTACATTCTAGATTCCCTGGTTAGCTACGCTGATGAGAATTGAAATATACATATAGCCTCTATTCTGTTCCTTTCCTTCCCACACATGCATGGAACAGTTTAACTCTGCTATAGCAATTTCTACAAAGTATTTCCATTCAGAAATACCCTGAAATGAAATTGGCTGAAAAACAAACAACAAACCGACATAAAACAAACAAAAAAAGGACACCGCCCCCAAGAAAATCCCTGAAGTTGCAAAAATCCCATTGAGTTGTTTTTTATTTATTGCAATAGCCCAAAATCACCCAGAATTATTTGCACATCAATTTATTAAAATTTATTACACGTAGTATTCTGTTTTATTAAAAAAACCCAAACCAACCCAAACCAACTCATTAGCCTGACAATTTGGCCTTTTTATATCATTTTGAATTCTTCAACCCACTGACAGACCTACCTTTTCTGTGGCCTGGGAAGATTTTTTTTTACCTGACATGACTGCTGAGAACAACTTCCTTTCAACAGAACAAATTTTATTTATTTTAAAAAATCTAAACCAGAAAATTTACAACTTTGTGTAAATTAAAGAGCAATTTCCTGCATGACTTTCTCAGATTCTTACCTCAAAGAAGCAGTATTAATCACGCCTCGATTTTTGACAAGTTCATTGAATCATAGAATAGTTAGGGTTGGAAAGGACTTTAAGATCATCTAGTTCCAACACCCCTGCCATAAGCTAGGGCACCACACACTAAACTATGTCGCCCAAGGCTCTGTCCAACATGGCTTTGAACACTGCCAGGGTTGGAGCATTCACAAGTTCCTTAGGAAACCCATTCCAGTGCCTCACCATCCTCACAGTAAAGAACTGTAAAGTTAATGTCAAGTTAATGCCACTCTTGCATTTGTGGTTTGTTCTGATGTTCCTTTCTAGAGGAAAGAGTAGACTCTACCTACAGGAGAGTCTTATGCTGAGGCTTCCCAAGTGAATGAGTCACACTGGAAATAATCTTTGGATATTTTGGTCATTCTCACCCCTTCCTCCAGTAAAAGGGAAAAAAAATACTCAAACCCAGAAGTATTTTATTCCATAGAAAATTCTTCAGGTAAACCAGTCATGGATCTTAGCAGCACACTAGTGTAAACTGTTACTGACAAGTCTGCATTATTCGTGCAAATGCTCTAGAAAGTTATCCTTGGTAACTGTAGCACATTTTCACCCCAAACCAAAAAATGCAATACTTGAATTTCAGTTAATCTTGTGACCCAATAGATTGTCTTAAATGAGACTCAACCAAGCAGGCATCGTAACTGCTCAGAAAAAGGACTGACGTGCCAACAAAAAAGGAGAGGTTATACTAGAATTATTGATACAATGTATATCAATAATTCCCTTAAATCCTCAATAAAGAGTAAAACAGTCAACAGGCTAACAAAAGTCCTTGTATTAATTCCTCACTTATCTACCTTTAGCAAAGTAAAAGATCCACAGCATTAGAAATTTAAAACAGGACGGAAGCAAAACTGAACTGAGCCGAAGGAAGAAATTTTGGCTTCCACTTGGTTTTGATTTTCTTCACTGGCTGTTTTTCTGCACTTCATAAAAATGTCATACTTCTTTAATACTACCAAATCAAGTATCAATTGTGCAGCAGGACTCTTTGAACTGGGTGTAAAAATATACTGTTCATTAACACTTCAGTACAGATACTAAGTGAAAAGATACAAAACCTCAAATAAAAAACATCTCTGCTCTACTTCCTAGTAAATATTTAATTTCTAGTGGTGACACTTTTTAGGTTAGCAGTAAGGGGTATTTATGATATTATACAACACTAAGAATATTAACCAATACTTTATTACCATTCCTAATGTTTACATTCACCTCCTGTTCCTGAATCTCTCTTGTAAGAGCAGAGATGTTTCAAAAAAAAAAAAAAAACAAACAACATACCACCAAAAAAACCACCTCAGACTGCGGATGTCCTGATCAGACATTAAAGACTTCAAGTAATTTGAAATCTTAATAAACATTAGACAGTATTAACATTCTTATAAAGTATATAAACTGTTTATTTCCAAATGTTATTATTTTTTCTGGTTTCCAAATAAATCCTATTGCACAACTAGACTTAGCAAAAACAGGACTTACACATTTTCTGTTACAATTTAATTGAAAATTTATAATTTAATAATTAAATGTAAATATTTGTAGTCACTAAGTCAAAGCAATTACGTTCTTTAATATTCATTTGCTTCATCTGGAATACTTAATAATAGTTCTAAGAAGCTCTTTGAGTACTGACTTGACTCAAAGAAGTCAGAAGTCTCCTTTACAGAATCCGTAAGAGGTGAAACCACGGTCTTCATTATTTTATTGAAGACAATTCTCTTTATTTAATCCCCCCTCGCCCCACAAACACCTTTTATAAAATAAACCCATCTGTAGTAAAAATTCCCATGGTCCCATTATGTCAGCATTTTTCTATGAAATAAATCCAGTGAAAATAACCTGTCTTCAAAAAATATTTTCAACATTTAGCCAGAATTCATTCTAGATGTATTAATGTATTTGTTGAGCTCTGAAAAAGTTCTAAACATACAAAATCAATCCTTAGATAATTTCATAACAATTAAGTGATTAATTTCCTTTTAAATCGGCCAGAATAAATGCTTAGAAGTGAATGCCAGCATTCTAAAACAATGGATTGTTTAGGAAAAAAACAACAGGGAAAAAAAAATCCTTTTCAAGAGTCAGTTAAGCCAAATAATGAAATGTAACTTCTCTTACCCGTATCTTCCTGTTGAATCCAAACAGTTATTTGCAGTGATCTAATCGCAAATATGACTTATATTATTATTTATTTTGTTATCTGTAATGTTACCAAGAAGCAAAAGTTACTTGGTCATTGTAAAATTCCTAAGCCTAATGAAGCATATACCCACAGCCAAACTAGGAAAATGACTTACTATCACATAAACATTTCTGGAAAATGAAAATATTCTTATACTTACCATTTATAATGGATGCTGAAACTGAAGTTACTGTTATTGAACATAGTTTTTTTTAAAGATATAGAAAACATTTGCAATCTATTTCTAGATGGTAATTTGAATGGAATCAGCTTGTATACAGAAAACTACAAAGACCACAGGATTTTAAGAGCAGGTGAATATTCTACAGGGACATAAAAATTCAACTCTAACAACTCTTATAAAAATACCAGTTATTTGAATTCCGTTGTCTACTATTCTTACAGTACTTAAATATTTTGAAAACAGATTAAAACTACCAAACTAAAAGAACAGCAGTTTCAAACAGGCATATTTTTCAGCCAAATGCCTGCTGCTGCTTTTATGACATTCCATTTTTCATCATTATAGACTGGCTTAAAAACTTGTATTCTTGCAGCACCTGCAAGTAGAACTGAAGTAGTAGACTGTTGCCCACACATTATATACCGCTTTAACATCTGTATGCATTTTAGGTTTCTCACCTTGTCAATCATTTTACGGGCTTCCATTTCTTCAGAATTGGGATTTTCCAACTCAATTGTGTAAGTACCTTTGTCACTCTGGTCATCCTCATTGTCTTTCTCAGTAGCAGCAGAAATATGCTGGCTTTTCAACTTTTTGTCCATCTCCTGGTTCTGACTAGGCCTATGCCCAAGGCTTCCTGAACTCCTTAACAATGCAGCCTGTAGGACAGGTAATGAGGGTTCTTCAGATTTTTGTTTTAGAAGTTTTGCATGAACACCATGTACTGCTCTGTGATGCGATGAGCTAGCTTGCACAGATGAAGGGACTGGTTTCTCTCCAGATGTAGGTTTCACTCTTTCAGCTCGCACATGAGGTGCTGAAGATGGAGATTCTGGGCACAGACCTCCTACATTCTGAGAAAAAGAGTAAGACCGTCTCTTTCGAGGATGGTCTTCATCAAAAAACTCAATCATAAAGGCAGTCTGACTCAAACCAGCTTGCTCTTGCTGCTTTTCTGAGGAATGGACTTTCTGATGTGACTTCTTCAGCTCTGTGTGATGATGCCTTAAGTGTTCTTCAAGTGCTTCCCTCTTACTGTAATGCCGGTGTGCACCAGCATTTTCTGAATCACTTTGTGTACCATCGTCATGCTTATTCCCTATAAGCAAAGCAAAAGAATACGTAGTGCAATCAATCAAACAAGCAAACAAACCAACCCCCCAATCCAACACATACAAAAGAAACTGGTAAGCTAGGAAAGAAATAATTTCAAACTGGTTTTCTATTTAGACTCCAATTTGTCTCTGCAAATTTTGTACAACTCCTGCTAATGCATTCAACTTGCTACGAGTCAAACAATGAATCACTTTGTAAGTTAATCAGTTACAGCAGTACATTTGAATTACCTTTTCACCAATATTCTCATCTGTGAATACTTATCAGTGAGTTACAAAAGCCAGTATTTTACCAGCTATAATATAGTATGTTTCCAAACCATATTAATTTTGTTACACAGCCAAGTGCAAATGACTACTGAAACCTTCTAGGCAGTGTTAAGAAGAATAAGAAAACCCTAAAATAGTCCTTTCAGCAGCTGAAAATACCCGCTGAGAAACACAGTTTAAATTGTTGGAGTCCTCACACATTTACAACAGTCTATCTTGAGAAATGTCTACTGAAAATTGGGATGAATTCTTTATTACTCTTTCCAAGAGGTACAATGAGTTTTTCCATCATTCACTCCCCTCAGCATCTGATGTATGCTTGTAAAATGGGTATTACTTATTCATTCCACAAACTACTTTCTGAATCACTTCAGGATTCAGAAAGGACTATGTATTTAGTAAATCATATATACACCTATAATTTGTAATGACACCTGAAAATGCATGGAAGGCTGGATATTCATACACAATCACATTTAACACATAGTAGCTTCATGTACAAAGGAAGTGTCTACACTTTTAAGTTTTAGGTCAATTCTTGGGAAGGAACTGTTTTACCTTCTTTGAAATCTTTTGCATCAAGTCTTGCTCATGTATACAAAGAATGAAAAGATTATTTTTTTATATTCTCAAGAGGATAGCCTTTTTTAAGGTTTTCTCACTTACATAGTTAGGATATACATCTACTATTCACTTAAATAGTAATCATATACTGGGAAATTTACTGGACTAACAGCACTGAATATACAACTGAAATCCCAGCTTACATTCCTAATTTCTACTTGTTTGCACAGTGCCTGAGAAAATGATGTGGCGATTCATATACTTCCACATAATAACAATTAATATCAACACCATAGTTAGTCATATAACATAAATTTAGCTGTGTGACTTCAGTACAGGATATTGTAAGAAAAAGACGAGGAGAAAAAACACAAAGGGTTTTCTTTTTCCTTATTCAAACTTTCAGAGTGGCTACTCATATTCTCTACCTTTATGATTTGAAAAAGTACAAGTAATGAGTGAGAATACAAACAGATCACAGAAAGTATTAAAAAATCAGATATTTTTTATGGCCATATGCACTATATAATTACACCTCTTTCAAGTAAAATTTTATCAAACTTTGAGGAGTGTCTGCCAGGAAAAGGTGAAGGCTTTTTATACAAAGCCCTTCCTATTTATCAAAGTGACATGGCTAATATTTTAAAGAACATTCATAAATACAATACAGTATCATGAGGACCAAACAATACTCTGCAATATACTCTAGAAGACATATTATACTATTATCATAATGTTAGCACATTGATATAATTCTGTTTCCAAAATAATTTTTTTAGCTTAATTTGGAAAAGTCAGCTTTAAAAAGTAGACTTGCAACCAGTAAGACAAGGCATGTTGCACTCAGTCACAAGTGGTTTAAAAGCTAGACATGAAAATGTTGCAGAATCAAGAAAAATGGTAACTGCAGGGTTAACCTGCTGAAATGAAATACAGAAAATAAGAAACATGAAAAAGTTCTTCAGAAGTTTTAATCCTGAAAATTTGAATGTCACATCTACTTCTGAACATCAAAATTACTTTCTTCTCTATTCTGCTAAGCGGCACCCAAAAGAAAGTAAACTTATCATGTTTAACATTTGGTTTAATTTTATTTGAAGTGTCACTGTCTGCAGTAAATGAACATGTATAATCACCTGAAACTCCATTCAATAGCCACATTCTTATAAATACCATCTTCTGCAAGCTTATTATAAAAACTGAAGCTCTTGATCTATTTCAGATTCCCGACTCAAACCTGACTCCATCATACATAATACACTTAAGCAGAATATCTATATGATGTATTCTTTGCCATAAATTATATTTATAGAGCACATGAATATTCACAGAACATATGCTATTGGAAGAGTTGCTTAAAGCATAAATTGAACTTCACAGCTTTGATTCTAAAAAGCAATTTTTAAAGTAATGCGTAAGAAAAAGTGAAATACATAAAATTTAAGTAAGGTTTGGGTTTCTTCCTTTTCCCTTTCAAGATCAATGTTTTAAATACACCTGATGCTTTTAGCTATACTAGAATATCTCCAGTTAGTATAGTTATTTTAAGATGATTTAGGATTTCCTCTCCTATCCTACTTTCAAGACTTAATACTGAACTAGAATTTCCCAGCACAGATCCTTGCATTTATGTGGAGTATCTGTGATTTCAATTGAACTCCTCAGGGGCTCAGGGATCTACTCACTCAATGGATGCTGCTGAGGAACCACTGCTTTCAGAAATGAGCATAGGTGGAATTATTCACTTTACCTTTCAGTCTCTTCAAGTACACTGGAACATCACTTTTAATACTTTTGGAATCCTCCTCTGTTGGTTCCCATATCATTCTAGGAGGATTGTTCTGTGCTAGCCAGTCTGCTACTTTGCTCTCTGCAGCCATCATCACCGTTTGAAGCCCAGGCAGGTCCTGCCCACTGGAGGACGGCTTTTTTGACTTGTGACGCTGTTCTGACGTGAATTTTGTCACGTGATCTTTGATTGTTACTTTTCCAGGAGTGTTGTCATCAAATTCAATGGTAAAGGAAGCATGTCCTGCACCTGATGCATGGGAGCTTTGGGTGTCCTTTGTTGGAATTTCATGAATAGTGCTCTCTGCTACCTGCGAAGGTGGCTGGAATTCTTTTGTAGGGATTTCAAAATAACTTGGCTCCCTACAGAAAGGATAAAGTTCTTCACTTGCAGCTGCAGGTTGCTCCTCAGCTTGCTTGGCATCTGTGCTGGATCCTATTAAGAAAAATGAAAAATAGATTTCACAATACTTGGGAACTTCGGGTTCTTCAAGAAGTTTCTGAACTCCTGTAAAGGCCACTTAAGTAATTTCTGGAATAAACAGTAAGAATGTGCAGAAAACTGAGCAGTGTCATTCCAGAAAAATAAGTCCAGAATTACATATAAGAAGTATTATTGAAAAGACAGCATAAGCTTTGGCTATAAGGAGTGTAAAGTGGCAAAAAGCTCACTTAGAATTTGTCAAAAGAAATTTGCATTCCAAGTATTTTTAGATGATGTAAATGTCAGATGAGTTATTAAGACATGGAAAACAGGTTAAGTTACATTACAGAAATAGTTGAGATGATCATTACTTGAGTTCCAATATATTGGAAACTACCAAATTAAGGTGCCCCCACAACAAGTGCTAATGATCTGGCTTCCATCTCCTGCAGTGGATAGCTAGTATAACTTTGGTAAAATTCTTTGGAAAGGCAATTCACACATTAACACAAGATAAACATGAATTCTGGCTTGAAAAGTTTATCACTGCTAAGCAGAGGAAAAATACTTAGGGAAGTGTTTTGGAATTCAAGCACTCTATATTTCTACAAAAGATAAAAATGAAAGAATCAAGATAAATCCTACTGTCATCTGCTTTTATTTTTACTTATTTCCATGATTTGTAATGAGCAGAAAAAGTAACAATAGCTGAAAGCATGCAGAATGTTACCAAAACATGCTGTAACTGGGTAAAGGAAGCAGAATGTGGAAAAAGTACGGGGTAGTAATTGGAAGTCCCACTGCACAGCCTGAAGTAAGTTTAAAGCTTCTTGTGGTTGCAGCAAAGCTACCAAAGTGCCTTTAAGAACACAAACCTTCTGGTTGCATTTCATGAACTGGTAAGCTAGCCAAAATATCTGGTGTAGAGATGTGCTATAAGCAACAGAAGCTTGAGGTCAGCAGCAATAGCAAGTTACATTCCAGCAAGAGATTTCTGAATAGTTCCTACATGGTTTGCAATAAACCACATTAGGATGTTTAAGAATTCATTTTAGGTTGCCAAGTAAAGGAATAAGAATGCAATTAATAGACTCTGGCATTAAAAACAGCCACACTAAATCAGCTGCGATGGTTAACATTTGTGTACAAAACTATTAAGCAATACAGTAGCAACAGAAACATTTATATGGAGGTAGGAGTTTAAGGGTTAAAGGATGCAGGATGGCATAATGCACCTATGCTGTTCTTTGCAAGCACATGATTCTTGTGAAGATTCAGGAAAAGGTTAAAAATTAAAAAATAAAAAAAGGATGGCAATTTGATACATAAATGCAACTATTTAAATGACAACATCATAGCTGGAAATATTGTTATGGAATGATAATGAAAATCATACACATTCCTCATTATTGCCATGCTTGGATACCAGCAGGGTAATACAATTCTGACGCAGGTAACAGCTATTTTATCTAAAAGTAGCTGTTGCAAATACAAAAGATGTTCAGAATTCAAACAGTTTTTATATTGTGCTCTTGCATTCCAAGAATACCCTATCCAATGCTTTTCACTGCATTGTCAGCTAGATAGTTTTCACGCACTACAGCAGCATCTCACTACTCCTTCCCTGGGAAATGGAACGCCTTTTTAGTCCACGTCCCAGAAACACTTCTGCCAGCAGACGAACAATATACAGATGAATCTACCTTACTCATGCAAAGGTCATTTAAATGGCCTCTATGTTTAGACAGAAGATGTACAGTGATAACGTCACAGTTTGCAGCTACTAGATTTTAGGTAACCTACCATCACTCTCCCTTTGTTTCATCCAGTTAACAAGCTGGAATGGATCAAGCTCTAGTAGGATCAAATCTAAAGCCAGAATATGCAACACCGTCACTGAACAAAAGAGTAATCCACCAGCGAGCTAATTCGTATGTGCCTTATTTTTTTCCCCCTGTGGTGCTATTCAGAGCTTCAAGCCTACAATTTAATGCAATTCCTGTAACCAGTAATTAAGCAAGATAATAGTATTCAATATTCCTTCAAAAGATAACTGGCTGATACAGTATGTTTGAGAAACATTTCTACTTTTGGGCCAGGCAAAAGCAACCTACTGACCACACAATGAACAATATTTTTCAGTAAATATTAACTGTTTCATCACCATCATTTGAAAATTATGACTGTAGCCAGACTTCATCAGACATAAGGTAGGGTTAGGACAAGGGGATCTGTAACATTGGCTTGTCAGCATTGATAGACAACTTCATAAAAGACCTTTTCTGTGAAATTTGCCTGCACTGAATTTAACATTTGAAATCAACGGTTTCTACTATAATGATATGCACAGTATTTGATTCTAATATTTTTGATTGAAAAGATGCTATAAAATAGTTTGAATCTAAATTATGACAGAATAAGCTTAATCAAAAGAGGAAACTGAAGTACGCTAGAAGAAAAAAATCTTAGTAATTATATAATGAAATATACCTGAAGTATAAGTTAATTGTAATTATTTTAAAAATACTATTTTCAGCCTCATGTACTTGCATTTTTAAAAGACTTAAATACATCAGAATTGATTAGAATAAGTAATGAGGAAACAAAAAATTAATATAGATCCCAACCTGAACCATCCTTCAGAATTTTTCACCCAAATTCCTTATAGCTTTCAAAAAGTGATTTATAAAATAGCCTAACTTTGAAATCCTATTATAAAAAGTCATCTGCCAAGATGAAGGAAAATATATATCAGGCTAAATACAGAGAGCTTTAAGAGAAAACCCTCCAGAAAATACCAAAGATAAAGGTCATCACAGCTCTCTAATTTTTAAACAGAACAAGCTTAATATCTGTACAGAAAAAAAAAGGCAATTATGTGGAACTGAAAATGTGTTTTGGGAAGAAAGAGGGACAGACAGGTTGTAAACTGCAATCTCAGCAGGGACTGAATTGATTTCTGAACTGGCAGAAGTGAAAGAAAAGGGGCAGAAAAAGAACCAGTGTATCTGTAAAGAATGAGCTCTCATTCTACAGAGGTCTAGAGCTAAAAAAGACAACTGTGCAGTAGTTTCTGCAAGGCAAGAAAGGAAAAAAAGAACTGTAGCTGATACAGGTGTAGCAAGATTTAATGAAATAAGGAGTCTAGGAGAGGCTAGGAGGGAAACTATGTAATATTTGGGAAATCATAAGCTTAACCAAATGGAGATTCAGAGAAATTCTTTGCTAAAATATAACTTCAGAGACAATCATCAGAAAAGCAACACTCACATTGTGACTTTAGCAGAACCGATAACACTTTCTACCACTTTTAAAGTTTTATTTCTTAAGTTACACATACAAATAGTCAGAATCTTAAAACTGTACCTGCCAACCTGGACAAGAAATGTCAGTTGTTCTTGTGCTATTCAACATTATGTGAGAAATTGGCTATATTATGTATGAACATAATATCATCTGCAAAGACAGAATGAAACCTCAGAAAATATTTTGTACAGTCTTCAGATTTTTCAGACTTTTTTTTCCTGCCTTAGAAATGCAATTTTAAGAATAAAACTTGTAAAAGAAAATGATCTGAAAATTACAAAGCACTTCTTGAAAAAAATACCCATAAACCTGGAGTAAAATATTAATTGCAGAAGGTATAAGATGCAACCAAATTATCATATTTATACAATATCCAAAAATATTTTTTGTCTGTTAGTTTTATATTTGGTACTCTGCAATGATTTGTTTAATGAAAAGAAGCTGAAGCTAGCGCTTTTGAATGCTTAACGGAATTTCTTTTTTTCCTTCTCTTTTTCTTCCTATTACTACTTTTTATTTCCCACTTACCATTTAGGTTCTTTTTTTGCTTTATGGCTGAAGCACATTTGTCATTATTTTAAGGCAAGATTGCAAAAAATTACATGTAATGATTCACCTAGTACTGCCTATCAATGTTGTCATAACCTGTCTTATCAAACAATATAAAAATTGCTCTCTCAAAATAAAAATATAAAATATTATTGCATAGAAATCCCCACCTCTCATAATAAATCATTTAACTTCATGGTTTAAAGGAGTTAAAGAAAAAATTGCAAAACTATTCTGACTTAAGTATATTGCTGTAATAGCTCTAAAAATTTCCGTAAACTGTAATGCAGCACTTGCATGCATTCCCGGCCAGAATTCAGAAAAATTCTAGAACACATTTCTGGGAATGTTAATCTTAATACTAGTGAATAAACGTGTGTATAATCTCCTACACATACTGACTACACTAGTATTTTTAAAATAACTGTCAGCCTGCTTTACCTTAAAATGACACTGTTTCTTAAATGTAAGGAACATTTAATCTGATAGACTGTTACACAATGCTGGAATTATAAGATACTAATATTTCATGCCAAATGGAAAAAATATTTTAGATTCTTAAAGCCTTTTTAAAAACCGACTTCTATTTTTTCTTAGATTTCTGGTAAAAACGTTTTATGATGTAAAATTCTAAACTACTACTGCGATCAGCAGAGAATGCAGCTTTTGCTTTTCAGAAGTGAGTGTAACACATGGCGGTAACAATAATCACACACCCAGTAAACTTATCAATAACATAAGTTTAATAGCTGCAGCATAAAGTCACACCCCAGGGGCACATGCAACTGTTCATTTTAACATGGACTACTAGATATATGGATCAATCAGAGCAACACATGTCCGAAAAAAGCAAAAAGGTTTTTTCCTTTTTCAAGTTTTCCAGGTTTTCCTGCTGTTTGCAAATAATTTCCATTACTGAGTTTCTGTTGTGATAGAAAGACAGTAACGTTGAAATAATCTTATTAACTTGAGATTGTAAGACTAATTGTCTGTAGCTGGCTTAGCAGAAACAAATCTCACAATTCAATCTCCTCATTATACCTTGCCCCATCTGTTACAATTCATGCCTCCTTTTACATTCAGTGAATAATCCTGTACCAAATCATTAAAGTATGAAGCAGATTCTTCATAGGATTAATTCGTTAAAATGATATCAGGCTTTACCAACTTGAGTTACTAAACAAAAAGTTTAAGAAATTACATACATGAATTCACCTGTACTGTACTTACTTTAGGCAGTTTATATTAGGAAACATGTTCCAAAACAGCGTTTTAAATACTTCATATAATTTAGCCCATGAAAGAACAAATAACTGCATCAATTTTGTACATTTTTCACTAAAGTTCATTTTTATTTAAAAAAATATCCAAACATTACAGTCTTGTTTCCCAATTCAAGTTTCCGATTTCCTTTCATTAAAGCTATATTGACTTCGAGTCATTATATTAACCTGTGTTATAAAACCTAAGTGCATGAAGAAAATACATACTAACTTGTTGAAAATTAACTTAATGTTTTCATGCAATGAAACTGTAGGCCAAACGGCCCCAAAAGCTTATGTCTTTATTTTATAAATCTACAAAAACATTCAAGATTTTTTTTTTTCCACACTTCTACACAAATGTGGTTAGTGTTCTAAGACTGAGGAAATGCGTCCATAGAGGCAAATGTCAACTGTTACCTGGTCTGTCTTCTCAGGCTCTCTGCCAACACTACTAAAAACATCTACAGTCAAAAACCAGACTAGTAAAACATACAGCTAGCGTCTACTCAGAGATTAAGTGATCAAGATAAATAAACCACTTGTCTACACAAGGGATTTTAGTTCCACATGCTCCTAAATTGAATTGTTTTGCAGAAATGTCAAGTTTTGTTTTTTTCCCAACAGTGGCTTCCTATAACATTTCACATAAGCTTCTGTTTAGTATGTGCTTCCGCTCTTGCAGATTTATTAGTCCTCCACTTTGAGGAAACAGAAGCTATTCCTGTACTCTACTTATTCTATTATTTGTATTTATTAGAAATAATAGAATACAGAATATATTATAATAGAATATAGAAATAGATTCTATTTGTAGAAGATAAATTTATGATTAAACAACAACATAAACAAAAGGGATGTCAAACCTATGTTGTACATGGGGGGGAGGGGGAAGTGTTTTATTTGCCAAGAAGCCTCCAGGCCCAATTTTTATTTTTATTTATATCATGTGTATATACAGAAAACAAACAAAAACAGTTAAACAGGGTAGAAAATATTAGTCCATTTTCTCTATTCATCATTTACTTTATGACAACTTCACTGATGCAAAGCATGTAAAAAATATTTCCATTACCGAAGTTGTGTCTAGAACAACATTTTTTGTCTGCTACTGAAACAGATTTCATCTCCTTGATTAGTTTGAGAAGAAGCTGGAATCTTATTTTTCTTTGGACTTGGGAACTAAGATAGGAGCACTGGCCACTTGCTGAAAAATCTTTTGATAAATGAATTCAAGAGAATGTAAACCACTTGCAATATTGCTTCTGAAAAAGCAACTTGTAAGTACGAAAACATAAGAATAGGTACATTACTAAATAGAAGCTGGAATCTTGTGTCATACCTTGTTAATGGCATGGCATCAAAACCACAGACTTTGGGATATTACTTTTTTAATGAAGGCAAATAACATGAATGTTTTTAAAATTAGAACGGCATAGATAAAGATACGTGAGTATATAAATGGGTATTAAGAGACTTTACTATCCCTGTTCTGGCACATACAGCAAGATACAGAGTCACAGGTTTCATAGCCAACAGCTACTGTTTCCTGTAATTTGGAAAGCTGGGAAAATCATGTGGCTAGCAAGTCTGTCAATGGTATGACTCAAAAGGCAAGAACTTAATTCTTTTTCTTCGTAACTGATGACATATGCACTTTCCATTTTTGTTGAGAAAAATTGAAGTGGAGCAACATCTAATAGTCATTGTCTCTCATTATTATTGCCATTAAAAACAACATTTATATGCCTTAGGAATGCTTAGAAGTGTTTGAAGAACATATTTCTAGACAAGATTTGAACTGAAGAGTTACAGATTACTAATGTGAGACATTAAACCTGTAGTTAAAAAGCCTGCATAGGAGCACGCAGCAGCATACTCTACTCACGCTGTGTACAGTAGAGTTTTTCACTGAAAAAACAACCAAAACAACCAAATATGAAAGTGTTCTATAACTGTACTACACTATGATGCAGTTCTTTTATATGTGACAAAACTTTCATACTGCACAAAAGCTACCAATTTGTTTTCACCTGTTTTCTATTAGCCAAATCTTAAGGTACTTACTTTACTGAGTCCTTACAACTTCAGACTAATATGAAAAAGGTCATTAAAGGCTATGACAAAAAGCTAACTCCAAAGACATTGACTTCATTGCATTGAAGTGTTAGTTTAGTTTGATTTTACAGGTTTTCAGCATTTACTAAAATTCCCGCAAAACAGGATTCATGGTAACCAAGGCAACTACTATTACAGGAAGAGAGAAATTCCTACCTCAGTTACAGTACTTTAAAAAACTGCAAACTTAAAACTATTCAGCCTTTAATGCACATCTAAACAGCTAAATAAACATGGTTGAATTTTGTCCTAACTTGCATAAGTTTTAAGGTTATTCTGTGTATTAGACTAGTAGTCTCTCTATTTATATGCCTGATGATAGATTTAGAAGCCTAATTATAGACATTGAGATTTAAGTTTTGGCAATACATATTGTGTATAGGCAAGCAAGCTAAAAAAATAACCTATATGACGGAGAAATAAACATTACCAGTTTAACTTCAGACTATCTAAATCTTTACTTGCAAGAACTATGAAATGCAATTCCCACTAATGCACCATTATTAAACTACAGGAGAAAATGTTAGCAAAGATCACCTTACATAGCTAAAAGTCAAATAAATATAGCACCATTTAGTTTCAGAAGTTATTTTGATAAAATAATCCTATGCAATCTCTAAGCATATAAAATTACAAATATGAATTAAACTGATAAATATGACATGCTAGTTCAGATAACATTATTTTCTACAATTACAACAAATTGTATTATATACTATATACATTACAGAAAAATGGTATATTGTATGTGAAACTGGTCTCTGGAAATGCACAGTTTCACACAGAATAAATTTCTTTAGCTTAATTTTAACAGTCTTTCATTTATGCAAACTGTCTATGAAACTTCTAAATGTTAGTATTTGTCCAGATCCCTAGTTAAGAATATACGCACTTTAATAAAGAGGAAAAAACCCCACAAAAATAAGACAACAGACTTACCTGAAGCCCCTGTCTCCTGCGTTTTTTCTTCCTGTTTGCTATCCTGCTTACAGCCACTTTTTTCATCAGCTTCATCATCACCCCACCAGGCTGGCTGTCCATACAAAGGTGTCCCACGAGGCATGGCAGAAAGATCTATAAAATCAGCCCAAAGCAGAGGAAGTTACTTTGCAGTTTAGTTATGATATTTAGGTTAAAATAACATGAAGAGAAAGTCATTTGCTTGGATCGTTTCTCGTGGAAGCTGCAGTGAATTGGCTGCATGCATTTGCCTAAATACAAAACAAACTTGGAGGCTGGCTAACTGATCTGGGTTCTAAATATAAACGCTTACTAATGACCTGATCAAAACTTTTGGCACAAACATTTATGCAAAGGCAGCTGACACCTCTTCCATTACCCTGATACATCTGTAAACATTAATTTCTGATTTCAGTTTGAAGTCATCAACTTAGCAGTACACTCCTAAAAGCTGTGTACTATTTCTGCAAGAGGATTCTCATTTTTACCCACACTGACCTTTCAATGAAATCTGAACTCACTGATCAAAAAACTGATCAAATTTTGTGATGTTGCCAAGGTTCCAAACTGCTGACAGCTACTACAGAGTGCTGAAAGTTACCTTGTGTAAAACACTACACAGAACAACCCTTTTTTTTTTAAGTAGTAAATTACAGTACAAATAAAAATGCTACTTATATAGGTTGCATACATGATTATAAAAATCAAATAAGAAAAAAAAAAACCCCAAACACCAATGTAATTAAGATTTCTATGTTGATGATAAATTGTCTAGATTAGCTTTCTCCTGATCTCTGGAAGAATGCTTCACCCTACTGATACTTAGCTATTCTAGTACCATACAGATGATCTGAAAATACTTTAAACAGTCTTCATATAAAATAATGTGATCTGTTCAAATCCAGCTTAGTAGCTTGTCTGTTACTTTGCCTATCATGAATTTAAACATTTTCAGTCAATGTTTTATTCACTGCCTCTCCAAAGTTGACATCTAATTTTATAGCCATGCCAGAAGTTTCAATATGATTTGAAGATACTAACTACTTTTTTTTAAAACGGCATTACACTTCAGTCAATAATGAATTGTTTTTAAAGATTTGTTGGCTGATGCTTGTGCACTGAATTAGCAAGCTAAGTAAACAGCTATGCATATATACAGCAGCAGGGAATCAATCCCCCAAAAGCTTCCATGAGTTGCACTCACATACACATCCCTACCATTAACTTTGACTATTATTTTGTGAAGAATGAAAAGTGAAATGGAAGATAAGGATAAAAAACTCCATTGTTCTACTTTATGAAAATTTAAGAGGACCTGAAAATCCTTGAAGCAATGGATAGGCCTTATGTACCTTAAAAGGATGCTAGATGAGCCAACAAAACAAATAGTTTAATTAATTATATATGAATCCTATATGTGGGGAAGAGAACCTTTTGAAGTGTGTCTTCAGAAGAATGGATTAAACCTAAAAAAACTGTACAGCCTTGACCTAAGAAGTCAGTCCTAGTCAGCTCCATATTAAGGAAGCAACAATACCCAACTCCTTTCTCATTCTTGTGGTTATCTCTCTGTAGTAATAGGTAAAAAAGTTATTTACGCTATAGATGAACAATAAATTTTAGCAAGCCTAAGACACCCCGCACCAGAGCCACCATGACACATTACATAAATTTGAAAGACAATGTAGAAACAAGATGAAAGCTACAGTTTCTACAAAGTTTTAAACCACAATGGAACACTTAGGTTCTAACCTAATGCATCTAACAATGAATGCTAATACCTATAAAACAAACAAACCAACCCCGCCCCCCCATTATAAAAATCAAGGGAGCGTGGGGGGAGGTGGGTTTGTGATTTTGGTAAAGAGAAATGCAAAAATCTGATAAATGCTGATGAAATGTCCCTTTACAAGTGTTCTCAACATGTTGGTGTTACAGTAAAAAAAACAAAAACAAAAAAAATCCACCAGAAATTCAATTATAGAAGTTATTAGTCACCCTTAAAGTACATTTAAAATTTCACATATGTGGAGTTTTTACTATCTGAAGAATTTCACAAGCATCCAACCAAAGCAAATGAACATCCTTTCCAAGTTTTTGTGCTTCTGCAGCAAAAATGAACCTTACCCACTGATTTCTCTTCAGATTTCTGTGCTTCTGCAGTTTTATGGTGCACTTCAGCTGTGGAATCTGCTACCTTGGACTCTGAGCTTTTGGAGCTGGTTTGCTTTGATCCTTCCACCTCTGAAGATTTTTGGGACAACTGGAGTTGGCTTGTGAATTTTTCATGCTACATGACATTAAAGAAAATGAAAAAAAAAAAAAAATCCACAAAGAGTAGAAAAACCCTTATGTTACCAACCACTACGTAATGACAGAACATCATTTTGGATCTGCACGTTGTTACCTTAAGTGCTTCTTCAGGGACTCTCATCTCTCCCCTGACGACAGTAAACAGATTAGTATGTAGGAAATGCTAAGGAAAATTCTGGAAAGATTCCTCAATTCACAAGAGGATTTTACAGAAAAGGAACAGTTCTACAGCCTATTCTGTCATTGGAATGGTGATGCTTCTTCTACAAATATTTCACTGTTAGGCTCAGCATGTACAATCATACTCATCAAAGCAAATGGACAATTATTTACTATCTGTAAATAGAGTAGCTACCTTAATTGCTGTAATAATACAAGTTTTGGATTTTCTTTTTTCCATTTGGTAGCTTGCCAAGTAATTACTTGTAGTCTCTTTCACTTGCATACAATCTCATATGATAGAAATAGGTATGTATTTGCCTTAAATAATGTTTCTTAGCAACAGAAAAATTACATTATCAGGTTCTAAACTGGAATTGGAATTTGAGGTTTCATGCAGTGAGAAACAATGAAATGTACTTTATCAATAGTTCTGATGAAGATACAGATTCTAGACCCTACCGTTTTCTCTAATACAGGCATTTCTGTAGTAACAAGAGAAATATATATTTCAAAGTGTCCTGGGTTCAGCTACAGCAGTCATTTTTTCTCCTTCTTAGTAGCTGGTGCAGTGCTGTGTTTCTTGACTTTCAGCCTGGGAACAATGCTGATAACACCGATGGTTTTAGTTGTTGCTAAGTAATGTTTACTCTGACCAAGGACTTTCTCAGTCTCATGCGCTGCCAGGGAGGAGGGGAAGCCAGGAGGAAGCAGAGGCAGGACACCTGACCCAAACTGGCCAAAGGGGGATTCCATACCACAGCACGTCATGCCCAGTACATAAACTGGGGGGAGTTACCCAGAAGGCCCAGATCGCTGCTCGGGTCGGGCTGGGTATCGGTCGGCGGGGGGTGAGCGGTTGTGTCCTTTTCCCTTGTTATTCCTCTTATCATTATTATTGGTAGCAGTAGTGGTTTGTATTATACCTTAGTTCCTGGAGAGCTGTTATCTCAACCCGTGGGAGTTACATTCCTTCGATTCTCCTCCCCATCCCTCTGGGAGTGGGGGAAGGAAGGAAGAGTGGGGGGAGCGAGCAAGCGGCTGCGTGGTTCCAAGTTGCCGGCTGGGCTTAAACCGCGACACAAAGTTACTTCTCAAATAGTAAAAGAACCCTTGATTTGACACAAGCATACTTTTAACAAGAAAAGCATGTCCTGACACTGTGTATTTTTGTGACAAGGATATCATATCCAAACCTCAATTTGTCTTCTAACTTCAGAGTGATGTATGTCTGCTCTGGAATCCTCACATCATTCACAAATGTCTACAGAAATAAATGAGGACAGAAAGAGATGCTATTAAATTCCAAAATAATAAAAATGACAAATTACTTAAACAATTTTATATGACAGTTTTCAGCACCACAAATTTTATACTGGTGATTCACTGGGAATTATATTATAAGCTCAAATTGCCAGCTATTTCAGAAGAAAGCTTAAACACCACTCACTAACCGGGCTGCTGACATCACACTGGCCTTGAAAAGTTTCTTAGAAGTTTAATTCTGTTAGCAGTATTTACTGAATTGTTGATTAATGTTCTCTCAAATTAGCAACTCTTTTTTTTTCTTGCAGTTTCCTTTTTCAATCCCATTTAACTGTCGGAATCGATTTATCATCACATTTGTACAGCATTTAACAATGGATATGAGAGTTCTGAGGTAGCTTATAATTTCTGAACATTGTCAAAGGACTTAAAGGAAAAATGGACCAAGTTAATGCATCTAAATAACTCCAAATAGTAGTGATAAAGAATTCAGTATATCATGACTCTTGAAAGAGTAGGTATAAAAACATTTGTAAGCAGAAATAACTTTATTTACCAGCTATAAGCAAAGCAGAGTAAATTCTGACAGTTTGCCAGTATCTCCTGAAAATTACTGTACAATATGTAATTATCTCCTCCTTGAAATTACCATTGGAAATACAGCTGGAGAAACCAGACAAGCTTTCGGTGATTTGAAGAAGATTTATGTATTTGAAAGTTTGCCCAGTTTTACCAGCCATATCAGTTGACTGTTAGAGACAGATTACCAATTGCACCTTTTTCAAGATTGGGATTAAACCTAACAGTGAAAAGTAACAAGGAATTTGCAAAAACCATGCTGGTATAAATGTCAAGAGAACATGGGAGATATACAGAATGACTAACTAAAGAGTCAGGAAGGAGAAAGAGTAATACACATTCAAGTCAAAATATATTTCAGAGATGTAGTTTGGAAGAGTTGGAAAACAATTTCATCTCTGGGGGGGGAGGAAATCAGATGAACATAAACAGGGCTTGCAGTTAGATTATTCAGCCCTAAAGAAAATTCTAGAAAGTCACCTACAAAAAAATTCAAAACCAAACACAAGCCCTTGTAAGAAAAGAATGTGTGTTGTGTGTGCAAAGCGTATTCCTTCATTGTAAAAGATCTGCGTCTTTAAAAACTGATTTACAGTCTTAGGAATGTAGGCTGTCAGCATCAGGCAAACTTCCCAGGTTACTAACATCACCAAGACTTGAAGTTGCATGTGGTGACTTCAGATACCAGAAACCAAGGATGATAATAACACACTATGGTAGGAGTGGATGTCAGGAGCTGAGTGTTCCTCTCACAACTTGCCCTTTTGCTGTTGGATGGAATGCTTAAACCTCAGGTAGAGACTTCTCACAGAACCTGTCATCCCCTATTGACAGCTCTCAAACTCACCCTTCTGCTCATCCTGAGTCATACCACTGCTCTTAGAACTCTCCAAATTAGGCTGCATTTCTGTGAAACTGAATTGGTTTGTAAATTGAATTTGTTACCTTCAGAGAAAACTGTATTGTATATCTTCTGAATTCACTCAGTGATAGAGAAATATAAAAGGGTGAAGACATGTTCTGTCTAGCAGAATAGAATATTAAGCTCTTGATTACCAAAATGAGAAATAAGGCTAAAAGGAAAAAAAAGACAGTAAAGGTAACTGCGTAATATTTAAGACACTTTCAGAGTTACAGATCCTTGAAGAATCTTTCTACAGTGTGACCTGACAAAAAAATTCTGCTCGGCATCTTGCTTTATTTTCAAATCCAAGTCCAGGATGAAGACTTCTGTAACCTTTTCAGTCAACCGAGTGTGAATGAAACATACAGATATGAATATTCAGGCATTAAGGCATCAGGTGCAATTTCAGTAAATCTCATGAAATTATTTAGGACTCAAAACAAAAGTCCTATGTACTGGTAGCAGCCAAATCCCCTTAAACTTTGAATTATCTTGAGTAGTTGAACTGTATTACACCAGGAATGGACCAGCCCTGTATACTATGAAAAGTATGTATTTGTTCTCCACAGAAAGGCCAGGATGGATGGGGCTTTGAGCAACATGATCTAGTGGAAGATGTCCCTGACTGTGGCAGGGGGGTTGGAATCAGATGATCTTTAACGTCCTTCCAACCCATATCTTTCTATAATATATGACAAAGCAAGCAAATAAAGAACGGGTAGAATCTGATGAAGCACTGAAAGAGGAACTTGGCTGCTAGGGAGGTGATGTTCTCAGTGGAAATAGTGGATAGACTATAAGAATTGTTGCCTAGTATTGTATATACTGTTCTGCCACATAATTAAGTATGGTGTTACAAAATTATTTGTTTTACCTTTTAACCTGAAAACCAGGTAGGTAGAGGCATGTAAGAAAAGCACAGTTGGAAAGACATAGTCATGGAAGCACTGTGAACACAAAAGCAAGAACTGAACTCCTAATATTTAATACTGCCTGTCCCAAAACTGTGGGAAGGAAGAGTTCCTTTGATGTCTCTGGGTAAGCAGCTACAGAGCAACTGACACCTCAAACTTGAGAATGAATCAGATCAAGAGAAGCAAACAACTGAAAGCTCTTTATCAGAGGCAAAGGAGGAGTTGGATGACGGCCTTCTAACATGCATTTTTATTAAATTCAAGATCTGTGACAAGGCAATGAAAATCTGAAGGCATACCTACTGAGTATGTTACAGGAGTAACAGAAATAGGGAATAAAATCAAATGGCTCAGCAAAAAACTACTACTCACTGAATTTCATTTTTGATCACTGCCTCGAAACTGTGCATTGACTTTCAAAATACAGAGGTGTATTAAATATTTAAGGAGCAAAGTTCTTATATATGTCTACAACCGTTCAAAGGATAGAACCCTTCAGGTTACACTGGTTTCATATGAAGTTGAGATTGACTCCTTGGAAGGCTGAGTTAGTTAAATACAGAAAAGCTAATAGGAAGCAGGCTAACAGAGGGTTTTGTTTCTTGAAATGCACTTTAAGATCAAACACCAAAACCTAAATCAATGCTAACAGACAGTAATTTGAGATTTCTTCTTAATCTTCTATTTTTTAAACATTTGACAAAGCTATTCACTACCAGTAGCTTTCCAAATATTAATTCAAATAAGCAATCACAGATGAACTCACTATTTTGCAGGCATTCACACAGGTAAACATTTAAAGTTAAATAAAGTAACAACCATAACTAATGTGTATTAAAAAAAAAAAAATCTTATAAAGAAGTATCTAAAGGGCTATAAAAATATGACAAAGTTACCCAGTTTTTAATAATCTATTATAATACTAAAAACATTTATAGGTGAAGCTTACCTAGAATATTGTATACGCAATTCGTAGAAAAGCCTTAAAATGTAAAATGTCATATGAAACTTTATTTTGCTCCTAACTTTGCATTTTTCCTATATTAGTTTGTAATAACTTGACACTTAAGCATTACTCACACATTCGATAAAAAGGATACTGAAAAACTAAATGCAAATACAGAATTAAACAGATTTACATACAACATGGCTATTGCCATTTAATTTTTTTCACATATGAAGTATTTTAACATTTTTGTCTCTAAAAAAAAAAGGTGAAAAAAGTAACAGCATATGAAATAAAAATCAATTTCTTAAACCACAGAATCATAGAGTGGTTAGGGTTGGAAAGGACTTTAAGATCCTCTAGTTCCAACCCCCTGCCACAAGCAGGGATGCTTCACACCAGACCATGTTGCCCAACGCTCTGTCCAACCTGGCCTTGAACACCGCCAGGGATGAAGCATTTCCCACTTCTTTGGGCAACATGTTCCAGTGCCTCACCACCCTCACTGTAAAGAATTTATTCCTTAGATCTAAGCTGAACTTCCCCTGTTTAAGTTTAAACCCATTACCCCTTGTCCTACAGCTACAGTCCCTGATAAAGAGTCTCTCCCCAGCATCCTTGTAGGCCCCCTTCAGATATTGGAAGGCTGCTATGAGGTCTCCACGCAGCCTTCTCTTCTCCAGGCTGAAGAGCCCCAACTTTCTCAGCCTGTTTTCATACGGGAGGTTCTCGAGCCCCCTTAATCATCCTCGTGGCCCTCCTCTGGACTTGCTCCAACACCTCCATGTCCTTCTTATGTCGAGGACACCAGACAGCAAAGTAGAGGGACAGAATCACCTCCTTCTACCTGCTCGTCACAGTCCTTTTGATGCAGCCCAGTATAAGAACCAGAAAAAAGGTTTTTTCTCTTTTACAATATAATCACAACCCTACTCCGCCCACATTTCTGGAATACAGAAGAGTAACATAATCCTTTTTATTCTTTCGATTTTTCCTACTGTCAAGGCCCTCTTATTAATGGAATTTACTGCAGCCCCTTAAATATTGTGCAATGGAAAGCCCCTGCAAAAGCTACATTTTCCTTCTGAATGTTCCCCCATTTCAAAACTTGCATTATAAAGATATTAAAGCACACTTAAGTCATACTCTTTTCACTCAAAAAAACCACAACCCCAAAAAAAAGAAACATACAAAAGACTACAGGGAGCTATCCATTTCTGATGTTAACTTACCCCATTCAAGCTGCCCAAATCCTTCACCAAGTGTTCATCTGTAGAGGCATCATAGTTAAGTACAGCATGTTGCTTGTCCACACTTCGTGACTAAAATACATTAAAAAAAATTATATAAAATACGGTATTTCAAAAACAGATCAAGATTGCATTAATGCCTATTTCTTAAAGTAGCATAATTATTTTATTTCTACATAATGCATTTATTCAAATTGTATTACTAAATCCCACATATGAAAAAAATCAATCTCTAACTACACCCAACTCTGCCCCTGGGTGCCAACAGAGAATCCTGAAATTAATTCAGAAAAATTATTTCCTTAATGTTTACCAAATGTGATTGTAAGTCAGATCCAGCCATACCTTATTCAAATTTTTTTTTTCAGTTCACCATAGCTTCACTGATGTTTAACTTAACATCAGCAACTTCATTGTTATTTTTCTTTCACTCCTCAACTACATGAATCTTTCCAAGCATGAATATGATTCTGTGGTGTTGCTATTCTCTCTGAAACACACCATTTCCTGTCATGCATCTGTGATACTTAACAAAGTATACAAACATTCAAATTCTTTCTCTTTGATCTCAATTTTGTAAACAAATTAGGTATAGCCTCTTCACTAAATGTCTGAGCACTTCCTGAATTACTATTCCCATGGGAATAGTAATCCCCATGAATTACTATTCATGGGGAATATTCCAACTATTCCCCATGAGTTCTGACCCTCATTATCAGTTGTTCCTTAAGACTTCAGCACTTATCTATTTTATTTATTTCACATCCAAATGTCAACCCATATATCAGGAACAATCCTTGCTACTGTTTCCTCCAAGAACATCACCTCCCTGACAGCTAAATCCCTTTTAAAACTTGCCCTTGGCCAAGTATTTGCAGCCTGAGGTGCTCACTGCAAGCAAGGAAGAGGTAGGGTTGGATGTATGCTTCCTTCAGCCATGCATGTGGTCAGCACCTTTACATCTAGAAGACCTCCCAACTGGATGGAGCCATACGCTCCTCTTCCCCAGCTGTGCACACTTCATCTCAAGTCTGTTTGCTGGTAATTCTGGTAGTGCAGTCTTCTGACATTACTGCATAGCAGCAAATTTCTTCTAACAGCATTCTTTTCAGTTTCAGCTTTGCATCTCCTATCCCTGCTATTCAAACTCATTGCTCAGGACTATACAGCACTGCCAATGGCAAATACTCAACTGAGGCTTCAGTACTGTTTCTGAAGCAGCACCTGCAGTCTGTTTGTTATAGGAGTCCCAGGTTATCACAGTGCATTAGCCTGTTCAGGACATCAGAACATGCAATCATGACTCCTAAGGAAATGCTTTCTCTTCTCAGAATCCCACATTTATCATCTCCTTCTTTCTCAAGACTTGCTAATATATTTTCCTTCCTTCTTTTCAGTTTACTTTCTTATACTTCCTTTCCATGCCACCCTTTGACTGCTTCACTTTCTCCTTAAAGAAGTGAAATCAGTCCTCTCCTGCTTATACTATTTTATTTTTAGACTTTTCATTTGAGCCAGTTTGCTCTGCAGTCTTGAGGGGCATAAAAGGTCAGGGCTTGATATAAGGGAAGTAGGCAGGGGGAAAAAATGAGGATAGAGAGAATTAAGGAAGAGAGAGACAAACGAACAACTAGGACCATGCCAATAAAAGCAGTATTAGTAGAGTACATCAGTTAAGTGTTCTTAATGATAGATAAAGATATACCAGTATAGTTCATTTTACACTAGCTTAGTAACCTCAGGCAAAAACAAGCTTTCTCAATAAAATCAAATTCGTCGATGTGGGTGTTCTGCTGCACCTATAGCATCAAGCAAAGATTATACTTTTCCACACTCAAGTGATGCAGCAAAGCAAGCACAAGAATTACCTTATCTTTATCTAGGAATATTTTCTGAACTTCTTTCAATTATCTTATACAAATACGTATTTTATTAGCTACCAATTATTTTATCTATATGTAATCCATCCTATTAAAAATCAGTTAAAATAGAAAGGACACAGAAAGATCCTCAGTGTTTCATGGTATTTTGTCACATCTTCTGAAATGGTAAGTATAAGTACACTCAAGTTTGTGGCTATTTGAGAAACCTGACGTTCTGAAGAACATTAAGGTTCTCCTCAGTCTCAGATTACTGGCATATTATTGGATACATTTTTATTCATTGCAGACGATCTTTACAGATGCCATTTTTTTCTTTTGATTTGTTATTCCAGCCTTCCGTTCAAATTTGAGGACTATCTAAATTAGTCTTTGCAAGACTGTGGTTCCCTGGCTGGCAGCTTATCAGCACACAGCTGTTCACACACTCCCCCTTGCCCCAGTAAGATGGGGGATAGATCAGGAAGAGTAAAAGCAAGAAAAATCATGGGACAAATTAAATATAAGTTAAGCAGTGAAGGAAAGAGGAAGAAGAAAGAAGAAATAAAACAAATCAAGTGATGCAAAGGCAATCACTCATCACCTTCCACAAGCAACTGAATGCCCTGCCAGACTTTGAGCAGTGGTTACCTTCCCCAAACCCACCTTCCTCAGTTTTTATTGCTGAGCATGTCATTATATGGCGTGGACTATGCCTTTGGTCAGTTTGGGTCTGCTGTCCTGATTGTGTTCCCTCTCAGCTTCTTCTGCACCCCCATAGTCATGTGCGTGTAGAAAGAGAAGAGTGAGAGAATGCCTGGAAACTGTACACACTGGTCAGCAGTAACTAAAATACTGGTGTGCTAATCACACTGATGTGTTTTGGTTACAAATCTGAAACATTGTACCATAAGGATGTCTAAAAAGAGAATTAACTCCAACCCAGACAGACCCAGTAAAAACATTTATATATGACTGCAGAAATAATAAATATCACAGAGTAATTATGCTAAGAGCTGTATGACTATAAAGAAGAAAACACCATCCCCACTTACGATAAGTTTGTAACTGGCATTATAACAAAGACTCTTCAATTCAATCTAGACTACTGAGAAAATGATGACAGTACAGAAAATAAAAGAGTATTATTTGGAAATAATTTTTATATGAATACTGTAGATTATTTTACCTTGGGGATGATTTCCCCATTTAGATTCAAATAGTTTTCTAAACATAACAGTGAAAGAAAGGGAAAATATGGTATTTATCCACAAGCAGGGTGGTGCACTGGAGCAGCTAGCTAAATACAAAGGCTATGTTTGAGCATATCTACAAAATAACACATTTAAAATAAATCTGTATTCCCAGACACGAACAAAACTTCTTAGAAGAGCAATGTTAGAGGCAGATCTAAAGTCTAATTCTATCAAGCATGTAACAGAGCTGAAATATTTTTTAATAAGGCTTTTATAACATCTTTTCTGTCAGGAGATTATGAATAAAAGCATTAAAATCTGCTTTCTTTATCATGCATTGTCCACATGCTTTGCAGTAAGGGAACAACCAAGTTGTCAAGAGTGGAAAGGAAGGTCCTACACAAAGAAGCATACATACAGAACAAGAACACATTATTAGATTCTCTTTGGTGGGTTCCTCCCCCTGAAACAGTATGTTGTGTTACAGTCGTGCTGGCATGTAAACCTAACAGCAGGCTAAAGAGAATATTCTTGAAAAATCACCAGCCCCCTTAATTCTTTTTACTAACTCTTTAGTCAATACACAACAAATAACATTTGTAAATGACTGGAATCTATCCGCAATATTAATCAAAGAGGCAGTTACTTTTGAAGATGATAATGACTGAGGTTTTATAACACAAACTAATAAATGCTTGAGTATTCAGCTTCACTCTAAGGACAGGACATGGTATAGAGGAGACAGAAGGAAGAAAAGGATGCTTATTCAGAGACACCCACTCATTACAACAAACTACTGGCAAAATAAAAGCATTTGCATTTTTTTGCTTATAATCTTTTGGGAGGAATCAATGGGGTGGGTTTTTTTTGTAGGTTTTTTGTGTGTATATTTGTTGCATTGTTTGGGGTTTTTTTAATACTTCTCACATAAATCACCAAGACATCATACTGTCTTTAAAGAGAGATTAAGGGTATTTTCAATTACTTTCTAACAGGACAAAGTATATCACCAGTATCAAGTCTCCGGATACTTTCTAACTAGATTTCTAGGCACTTCATTTGCAAGCGAGATTCTAATTTGGCCATTAATGGCTGCATTCACAACTCCTTGGAACAAAAAAATCCAAAAGAAAATATTTTATTGAATAGTAGGAACAGTTGAGGAAAAAAAGATTAAACTTCAGAACTAATAAAGAGCTCTACAATAAAGACAATAATGCAAGAAGAAAGTCCCAAAATATTACTGTTAACCATTATATATCAATAATATATCAACAAGAAGAAGCTCGGAGGACTACAGCTTTGAGAGGGCAAAGTGAATGCAGTATGGCTAAGTAATAACACAGTTACACAGCTCTGGAGTTCGGCATAGTGATCCTCAAAGCTGAGTTAGTAACTAAAGTATCAAACTATTTTGACTAAGACTTATATTTTTACAGTTCCACTGAAACCATTACTGAGACTGAGTCATTCAACTTCCTTAGAGATAGAGAAGTACTCTACTAATTTCATTTGCCTTTGTACAACAAGATCAGGACTTTGCAATAGAGTTAAATCATGTGACTAAATTAGATTACAAGTTGCAGAAAAAAGAAAGCTCTGTTCAGAAGCATCCAGTGCACTTAGCATTATCACATTTTTGGGAGTACACAGTCTACTTTACTGATCATATTGCAAAATTTATTTCAACTTCTATTCTTGCATTTGGTATGCAATTTATAAGAAGAAAATGTGATCCTCTGTACTTTGACAGCAACTGTGATTGATGGCAATGTATTTAAACTAACTTTTTTCTGTGAACACAAAAGATTAATATGATTGCTCCCCCAGCATCTGGGGAACTTAATTTTCAAAAGGAATATAAAACCAGTGCATTAAGTTCACAATTTGAGCAGTTGCACAAAGAAGGCTGATGCAATTACCTGTAACATCAGCTCACAGTCATCTCTTCCAACAAAAATCATTTCTCGCGGCAGCCTGTGGCGGGTGCCTCCACTGCTAACCAAAAACCAGGATGTTAAGCTCATTTTCTGCTTAGCTGATAAATCCTTGGCAAAGCTACGTCATCCTGCAGCAAGAAAGAGACAGAAATTCATTTTAGTTATTTTTAGCTACAGTTTCTGCTCAGCAAACACTGTGAACAGAATACAAAAAGCCTCTGAAAATACAGCATTCTCAATAGCATGTCCTGAATCCAGCAATCACAGGAAGTCACCCGCTCCAAATTTACATAGTCTGAGGCTCTGCTCCATGCAACTAGGCAAATTTAACTGGTGGTAAGCTTCTTGAAAATGAGCAAGCAGCTAATAAATGCCAAAGTCATACGTCAAGTTGTCAGAAAGCTTTTAACATTTGACTGCTCATTATCAAGATAATAGCTACATTAATGCTTCACTATCACAACCAATAAACAACATGGCAAACATTCACAGAATACAGCAAGTAACTTGCATGTGTGTCATTACATTTTCCTGTGAAAAAGAAACCTCTAAAATGGTTTTAATCCTCTGTATGGTACCAAGTGAAACCTTAAATTAAAGGAAGTTTTGCTTCTTATTTAACCTTAGATTTTCTCTATAAAACTTGTTAATAAAAATTAACACCATATACACAGAACTGTAAAGAAAGCAGAGCAAAATGAACAATTTAGAAGTAATAAAACTGAAAGCAAGATTCTTGCAGAACTTTTCCAATAAACAACATACTACATACTTAGGAAAAAAACATGTAACAAAATGTTATAAAATACAAAGAAAACAAAACCTGAAAACAGGATAAAATCCTTTACGAAAAACATCTTTACGTAGTATGGCCTACTTTAAACCGGACAAAAATATGATTAAAAGCATTCTCCAGAGCAGTACAATGAATGAGACTTGGAAAAGCCTTTAAGAAGTATTCCAAATCTCTCTTGAAGAAAAAACAAGACAAAGAAATAACTTCATTAATAACCATTTTGTATTCACTAAAAGAGAAGATAAAGAAATAAAAAGCAACTAGTCTGCATTCCTCTCAGAACCAAATAGCTCACATTTCTCTTTTATTTGTATGTCATTTAGTGAAATTATGCAAGGGTAGCAAATGTACTGTAAGTAGACATAAGCCTGTAGAGGACTCGAGCATAATCTGCAAAATAAGAACACAGCGAGGTTCTCAAAATAAAGACTAAAGTGCTTTCAAAGCACTTTCAAAGACAATACCTGTTCTGCCCCATCAGACAAACTACAATCAAGGACAGACATCACAAATTATGAAAACTTTTAAAGAGGACTGAGCTAAGTCAAAACTGCATCTGAAAATGACAAAACAGACATTTACAAACTGTAAGTCAAAAGCACACCATGGCAGGTTCTAAAATGAACCAGCAGAGCTATCAGGCCAGTTTAAAAAAATTAATGCAATTGAAATGGAAGACATTAGAAAGACGTACTAACGATTTCTGTCATGAAAACATAAATATGTATTGCACCAAAGTATGCTGTTATACAGTGATACTTATGATAGGATTACCTTCCTACAGCTGTATCAGAGCATGAAACTTACATCCACTTAATGTTCTCCAATTCAACAGAAGTGATACAGCATTTCTATTATACTTTATTAATAGAAAATATGATTACAAATAACATCTACAATAACTTGATGAAATCAAATTTAAAGACATCTAGTTACCAAATAAGTGGTTTAATAATTAGAAGTTTATTCAGCACCTTTGAAGGAAATTAACATTTGTATTTTTAATTTAACCTAGTTTAAAACTACAAGATAAATTAGGTAAATCGAATACCATATTTCCATTCCTCTTAAGAAAGGCAAAAGAGATATAAAAAATGGCCAGTCTAGGTCCCAGTTTCTAACAAGTAAATTAAATGGATGTATGACAGCAAACATACTGTTCAACATCAAAGCTCCTCATTCTGTTTATATTTTACTGCCTTTTAAATCTCCCATCTGCTTATCATAGCAACATTTACACCATTTGGCCTTCTTGCTCTAATTGGAATTTCATCTGAAAACCTTCAAGAGGATATGAATTATTAGAAAAAGTTCTTAGTCAAAGACTGTGTTTTAGTGTACATAGGCAGACTGTCGATAAAGGAGAAAAACTATTTTTATTTATAAAACAGACAAGTAGGTCAACAACTAGAGCTAGGGGAAAAAAAAAACCCAATCAAAACCCAAAAACCCAAATCTCCCACAAATGATAAAGCCTGACAACAAACAGATTAAATTAAGCTATCTGAAATAATTTTTAAAAATGTATTATACTGAGCAAACATTGCCACATAGCTTGGCAACACATTTTGTAGTTAAAAACAAATCACCATTTCTATCAAATTTAATAACGTTGTTCTTTTCAAACAGTGCTGTCTCAACTGCGACGAATCATCAACCTAGATACATATTTTATTTTAAAGGATTCTTTAACATAAACAAATGCCTTTGATCAAAGCTAAGCTGAAATTCTGCACAGCAAAAGTGGCTGAAAAAAAGATACAGTAGCAACAGTTATATAATACCAGAAGAAAAAAGAAAGTGCATAAAAAATTTGATATAAAACTGCAAACTAAGTTATATAGACAGTATATGGACAATTGCATAGCACCCTGAAAACTGCATGAAAGCTAACAATATTTTGAATACACTGCTACACTAAGACCTCTGGCTGTAGTATTCTGAACAATACAAGGATGAAAGATTGTTCACTATCTAGAAGATATCAAATTAAATTAAAGTATAACAGGTACAAAACCATCAGAAGAAGTTGCTCTTTACACAGTGTAAATTTAGGTCATGACAATGCTTGCAATTAAATGTTATAGATACTAAAAGGTTACACTGGGCTCAAAAAGCAATATGCATTCATGGAAGAAAAAAAAATGATCATGCCTGTTAAATGCAATGACCCCACTCATGGCTCAGGAACTGCTGGGAGCATTCTCTGGTGAGGTTTCATTTGCTATAGTCCTACTTAATAACATCTCTTCCTTATCTAGCCTTTGTTTATGCAGAACAAGATACGGGCCAAGGTAGGTCTGTCTTATTGCAGTACTGACTAAATTTTTTATCAAAATACTACTATGTCTACCATAGAAAAAAAAAAATTATATTCTTTACTGAAGTCTTTCGTTTTATTAAGTCATTCCTAATATGGCAGTACTGTGTTGTACTCTTTAAACAAGCCAGTAAACATTTCATCATTAAGACTTGATCACTCAAAGCACTACTTCATTCTAGAAACCCTGAAGTCAGTTGCTGAGACACCTACTGCAACTACAAAATACTTCCATGTCTGCAGAAGAAATTACATCCTATAATGAAGGACTATGAATTTCATAAGGCAGTAACCAGTGTGTAAGAATGAACACATGGGTAATAAGTCATTCAAAACAGACGATGCACCAACAGGGAAATTGGCTGCATCATCCCTGTAAATATAATTCAGTCCTAAGAACTAAGGCCCTGCATTATGTAGCCAAAGGATGGGTGTAACCAATTTCAAATATGTCTAGAGAAACACTGCCAAGATTACAGTTTTGATACACTCATGTTGTTGTAAGCAAAAATCCTTAATAATCTCACATTGGAGCAATCTACAGTCTACATTTTTCTATTTGCCTGTAACAGAAAACAGCCAATTATCGTCTCCCACTAAACTATTAGCAAGTAATGAGACACCAATCCTACAGAGAGACAAAAAGCTGTAGTTAGAATTAAAACTAAACCTAATATATGCCTTAAATTCCAACTTTTAAGCATCACAGTCCTACATATTAAGACTGAAAATAGTATAACTTTAATGGTACACAGTTATGTTCTTACTGTAAAACAGATTTTATTTAAGAATATTTTAGAATAGCATTAAAAAAAGCCTGCAGCAAGCTGAGACACAGTACTGACAAAGCCAGAAGCCCTAAGTTACCCATTACCTGCCCTTATAAGTTCCTGTTTCAAGCTGCTAAATTTTTTGCTAAAAGTAAGTTTACCTTCTCGTACAATTATTTAGTATATTTGGGGAGCTTCAGAAGAAAAACTCAAACATTTCCAAAACAAGGTTAGGTGAAAATGTTCTATGTTACTAGCCTTAAAAACATTTAAAGCAGTACCTCATATATGTAAATCTGTAACTGAAATGTGACAGGAGGCCTTAGTATCAGTTTGTACGTCTTATTATTGCTGTTATGCAAGTCCAGCCAAATGCAGACAAGCAATACTTTTGAAAATCTTCCATGTGTATATTAGTTCAACAAGTACAAGTCCCTCGACGCATCTTTCTACACAGAGTGTGCTCCACAGTTTGATTTAATTACCTTTTTTTAATGTTATAAATCCAGTTAGAACCAAAACCAGAGCATCCTTCCCCAGTACTCTCAATTCATCCATTATTGATGGTAAAGAACATACATGAGGGTAGAAGACCCAGAAAGAGAGACCACCACCACACCCAGACAAGATACTTTAGCTGGAGCTAAGCAGACTCTGGAATGAACACTCAAGAAAGGTAAACATCAGGTGAGAGCCATGACAAGGGAGAAATCTGAATTAAGAGAGCATTAACAGAGCCCATAATGACTGGAGAAGACCTGAAGTTGAAGCCAATTTGTAAGTCACAAAGAAATCCTGTCAGCAAACGACACCCACTGGAAAAGTGCCTACCATGACTGCTTTATTGACTATCCAATGCAGTTAAGGATACTAGTGCCAGCAGTTCTATTTTGACTGAAGGAACAAAGTAAAGGTAATTCCAACCCTGAGAAGATTACTGTATCAATACAATTGATGCTAAAAAGCAACTTATAATCAATTTAAATCTAAGTTATACATTGAAAACATCACAATACTGCCTACTCTGTAAAACACTCTGAAGTTGAGCAGTTTCACAGTGTTTCACGTGTGATCATTATTAACCTACTTACATTCATGCATTAGAAAATAACCTTTAACTACAGCACCACATAGTATCTTAACCAGGACCTTACTCACATTGAAACTAAAAGCTTAACAGCCAGTTAATCAGTATTTTTTT